TAGAAGAGAAAAAAGAAAGAAAAAAAACAATAGTATTTCTGACATTATGCAACATATTTCTGACATAATTCTTGTTTTGTAGGTGAAAGATTCAGTTCAAATTTGACCTTCTCATTTGTTAAAAAGTAATCCAGGTGAATTTTACTGTTCTAAAATTAAGGAATGAACCCCTATTAGGATCGCTGTAACAGTAATATCATCTACATGTCACTAATTAAGAGGATATATATTTGTCCAATGTGAAAAGAGCTCTTGGGTACTTCCTTCAAAGGATCCTGACACCAAGATATGTTAAAGACAATATACAACCCTATTAAATTAAGGCATAGTATATTGTCATTAAAAAACTAACAAAATTCTCAAAAAGAAGAGTATACAATGGCAAACACGTGCAAGTTGCAACAAACTTGACAGCTTAATATAGCCAAATATTGGCGGGCTAGCATTTTTTTATATCGGAGAAATATTCTAACACATACTAGTGCTTATTGGGCTGACAAAATTGACTTCCAACTCATTCGCACACCATGCATGATTACAATCACAATTGTTATATTGTGGAATCGTGCAAGATGGACACGATTCTACAATCGTTATGCTATGGACCCGTGTCTAGCATGCATGCTGGACACAGGTAACAGTGCCATTAGGCACTGTTATCTTCTTCTTCTTCTTTCTTTTTTTTTTTTTTTTTTTTTTTTTTTTTTTTTTTTTTAATTTCGGACCGGAGTAAATTTCAATTTTGGTCATATGACTATAGATGTTTTGTTAATTTGAGTCTCTGACTTTCAAAAGTGTTAATTTAGTACCTTAACTATGTAATTTTTGTCAATTTTAGTCACTCCGGCAAAATTGCCGGCCAAATTTCGCCGAAAAATTTTAATAATTAAAATAATAAGGGTATTTTGGTCGTTTCATGCCTCTTTTCATCTTCTCCGGCGAGTCCATCACTTTCTCTCCCATTTCTGGCGTTCTTTCTCCATGTAAACCCTATCTTTAATATCATCAAGCATCCTTTCCCCATCATCTTAGTTCATTTCATTCGTCGAAAACGGGAGAGGAATGGCTGGACTCGCCTGGGATGAAGAAAAGAGACGTGAAATGATCAAAATATTCTCATTATTTTAATAATTAAAATTTTCCGGCGAAATTTGACCGGTAATTTGACCGGAGTGACCAAAATCGACAAAAAATTACATAGTTAAGGTACTAAATTGACACTTTTAAAAGTCAGGGACTGAAATTAACAAGACCCCTATAGTCATAGGACCAAAATTGAAATTTCCTCTTTCAGACTGCTTCGTTATAGGAGTATATGTTCATAATTTTATTACTATATGTTCAGAATTGTAAGTTCATAATGTCAGAGTTCTATGTTCATAATTCCGTAACTGTACATTCATACTTTCATAACTGTACATTCATACTTTCATAACTGTACATTCATAATTCCGTAACTGTACATTCATAATTCAATAACTGTAACTTCATAATTTTCGAAACTCTATGTTCATAATTTTATCACTATATGTTCATATTGTAAGTTCATAATGTCAGAGCTCTGTGTTCATAATTGCATAACTGTACATTCATAATTCCGTTAACTGTACATTCATAATTCCGTAACTGTACATTCATAATTCAATAACTGTAAAATCATAATTTTCGAAGCTCCATGTTCACAATTTTAGAGCTCTATGTTCATAATTTTATCACTATATGTTCATAATTGTAAGTTCATAATGTCAGAGTTGTGTTTATAATTTTATAACTTACATTCATAATGTCATAACTGTACATTCATAATGCCATAACTGTACATTCATAATCCCATAACTGTACATTCATAATGGCACAAACGAATAACGCCGTTAACACCGTTAACGACGAGACAAAATCAATTTTTTTTTAACTGGAATGACACGTTTTTCAGCTGAGCCGTCGCAAGTATCATCTGAGCCTGCTCGAGGGGTTGTAGAACTGAGCAAAGAGGCTGCCAATGTTGTTGAGATATCGAGTAGCTCTCCAACCACTCGAGAGGTAGTGGAACTGAGTGGTGAGTTATCTCGAGGAGTAGAAGTTCTATCAAGCTCACCTCGTTTGCTAACTACTCGAGAAGATGCAGAACCAAGTGGTGAGGCCGAGCATACAACCATTCATGAGGCATAACGATTCGCAACTCCTCATGCTGAATTTGATGAATGAGTGATTGTTGAATTTGATTCTAGCTTAGCCAGTACTGGTGGAAACTGAGAAGTGCTGACTAGTGCGAGCTCAAAGAATCTATAGCCGACCATCACATCCTGATTGTTGAAATAGTTTTTTGACTATAACAAAATTACCAATTTGGTCCCGAGTTAACGGATGTCTAACAACAAAATAAACGGATGACCAAATTGGTTAAGATTTTTAAAGTTGAGGGACTTAATTGGTCAAGAAAAATAGTCAATGACTAAATTGATAATTTCACTATAGTCAAGGGACCATTTCGATAATTAACTCAAAATAATATATATGGTATCAAATCATTAAAACATTCCAAACTTCTGTACCAACTTTAGCCAAAACATAGGGGGGGGGGGGGGGGGGGGGTGGTGTAAACAAACAGTCATCACTAAGGATATGATGATTGAATTTGTTACTGTGTTACATAAACAAATTAACACGGCATAATTCTCTGTAAATAAAATCTCTGCATTAATTGATTTGAAGAGAGAATTTCAAATTATGTATTGTGTGTGGCTAAAAATAAAATTATGCATTATTATTATCCATCCAGATGATGCAACGCAGAGATTTCTTCTGCTCCAGCAACTCAAATGCTTGCATAATGTCTTCGAATTTGACTTCATGTGTTTTGAAACCCTCCAAATTCAGCTCCTGCATTTATTTATCGTAACCAAAAACGATTTTACTGTCAGACGTGTAATATTTTTTATAAATGTAAAAAAAATTGTTACATTTTAATTAAAAAGTATTTATCCAGATAAATTCGTGACAGTCACACATTAAACGCAGGCTAAAAAAGGACTACTCAAATAATGTCCCATCAGTTACCACCCCCTAACATTCGAGAAATAACAAGTTTTTTTTTTTTTTTTCACTCGAAGAAACAACAAAATAGCAAAATAAAATGACAACCATATATTTGTCTGATTTGGAATAATGCATTGCGAAACTTACATTTTTCAGATATTTTTCAGAGTCATTTTTACAATTTTTTTTTTTTAAATGAGGATGCCCATTTTTTTTTTTTAATTTTTTTTTATTGATTTAAGCCGTTGATCTAGATTTGATCAACGGCTCAGATCTCACCCCATTTTTAACCTGAGAGTATCTCCACACTTGAATTGCTACACACACACACATATATATATATATATATATATATATATATATATATATATATATATATATATATATATATATATATATATACACACACACACACCCACACCCACACACTCTACAGTGTATTTTGAGAGTCATTTTTCATTAATGCACAATCAGTTATTACAAGTTACACAATTAGGTAGTAACAGTTGTATAATCCAACGTAATGAGTTATACTAGGTAATTCTCACATTTTCACAGAAATAGTGATTCTTATTTGATCCTGACTCTCTCTCACTCTCTCTCTCTATATAATCGAATATTAATCCATGTTATTTGTTATTCAATTGTGTGGTTGCATATATAACTATTTGCATATATTATTTATAAAAAAAAAAAAAAAAAACTACAACTTTTAAGGATGTGTGGTTACTTCTAAATGTAAAATACGTGATTTTTACATAAAGTCATGTTATATTTCTCGACTAACATTACCGTATATAATAGTTCATATTTTTTATTGTGATGGAATATATCAGATTGGGCCTAGCCCATGTGTTCAGGGGTGGCTCAATGATAGAAGGATGGGCTTGCAGACCGGCATGCATGCACAGAGGATGGCTGCATGCGGTCTGCATACACAAAGGATGACTAAAAGCACAATGTACACAAGATTAGCATTAAAAACATGGACATAAATGAGGGATATAACTTTGATTGAGACTTATTATGTTTTTAATTATGCAAATTCTTTAATTTATTAACTTGTAGAAAAATCAACTAATTGATAACTACTCCACTTCAAAAAAAAAAAAAAAAACTAATTGATAACTACTCAATAAAAATGAAAATAAATTGAGTAAACATTAATTAAAGAATTAATATTAAGAAATGATTTTTGAAACTCTCGTTTATAAACTTTTCATGAAAGTATGTATGTTGCTTAGTTCATTAGAAGTCCAGAGTGCATCTATCAGTCTATCTGTCTGCCAATATCACATATTTTAACGGAAGTCCGGGAGCTTTTTTGTGGCACTTTCATGTTGGTCTCAAACTATTATTTTAGTTATTACAGTTCCAGTTGGGCTATTAAGGGTGTGTTTGATTTGAACATGAGAATCGAAATCGAAATATGAATAAAATACTTGATAATTGGAATATATTTTGGTGAGACTAGTTTGCATGTTTGGTAGTAGGGTGGAATTTGAAATAATTATCAACATTGATGTTTGGTTATGTATGGTCCTACAAATCTACAATCGAAATAAAGGTTTTAAAAATACCAAGAGCAAAAAATCAAGGCAATTGATCTTGAAAAAAGAGATCGTGGATCTTGAATGCAAGAGATTCCTAAATGGTTTTGACTTAATTTTTAATTCAATTAATTATCTTTAATTTAGCCGTGAACCACACACAATAAAAAACAACAAGGTAGAAAACTAAGTAAAGAAATAAAACCGAGGACACAACAATTGTTAACACAGTTCGGAAAAATTCCTCTTACGTTTTTCGAGACAACTCAGCCCAGCCCAATCCACTAAATGATCACCAAAGATTACAGGGGTTAGTAAGACATAACCATACACAAAATGGCCCTAGCCAATTACACCAAATCAATCTTCAAACATCTAGGTTGAGTAGGTTTGTGCATGCCACAACAAATCTTCAATCTTCAACACACCATAATTTTACTCATTAAAATTTTCTAGCTACTTCAACATACCAACAATTTGATAGTTTTAAAACTCGTGGACTGCAATTAACAAGACTCCAATAGTCATAGAACCAAAAATGAAATAATTCTAATAATCTAATGTGGATAAAAAGGCAGACGCTTATGAAGATCCAACTAAAATTTGTTAAGCATCCATCCAGATGATGCAACGCAGTGACTTCTTTTGTTCGAGCAAGTCAAATGCTTGGTTAATATCTTCGAATTTGACTTCATGTGTTTTGAAACCCTCCAAATTCAACTCCTACATTCATGTTATAATAGAACAAAGAAAAAAAAATGATTAATTGGACACATAGTGATGTATGAAGTAAGTGATCGCGGTATGTTACTCTTAAATTATTAGTAGTGTAATTGTTATCCTTCAATTTTTAAAACGGTACATATATTGTCCCTCCTATATGGTACGAGAGAAAAATTGAAGGGCAATATTTACACTACGAGAGGATATATATATATATATATATATATATATATATATATATATATATATATATATATATATATATATTGTTTTAAAAATTGAGAATCAGCATTTTCACTATTAATAATTCAGAAATGACCCCGCCTATGTTACTCTTAAATTATTAGTAGTGTAATTGTTATCCTTCAATTTTTAAAACGGTACATATATTGTCCCTCCTATATGGTACGAGAGAAAAATTGAAGGGCAATATTTACACTACGAGAGGATATATATATATATATATATATATATATATATATATATATATATATATATATATATATATATATATTGTTTTAAAAATTGAGAATCAGCATTTTCACTATTAATAATTCAGAAATGACATTGATAATTTACACCAGATAAGACCCTGTTTGGTAAAATGGCTGTTAGCTGTTAGCTGTTAGTTGTTAGCTGATTGTGTTAATTAGAGGGTATAAATAGTTGATAACATTAGCTGATTGTATAAAAGTATTTGGTAAATTAGCTGTTAGCTGATAGCTGTTAGCTGTTTGGTATAATTTTTTTTCTCAAAAAGCTAATTGAAAAAGTTGCTTGGAGTAGCCTTTTAAATTTTAGCCTTTTGAAGTTGCAAAAAGTTAATTAACCAAACATTTGTATTGATATTTTAACTAAATCAAACAATTAATAGTTGTCAAATAAGTCAAAATTGGCCTATAGGCCAATTTTTTACCAAACATGGCCAAGTAAATTCAAGAGCTTACATTTTCAAAAAAAAAATTCAAGAGCTTACCTTTTGCATATATTTTTGGGCAAGTACGGGAACATCAACCTTCGGTTTGATTCCTCCAAACAAGCATCCAATGATTGTTCTTTCCGCTAAGAGCTCATAAGGGTTTATACTTATCGGCTTTCCATGCATTTCCATCCCAAGTATTATTGTACATCCACCCTACAAATTATAATAACTCCAAAAATTAATTATTTTGTAGTATACGTCTAACTTTAATTAAAAATTTATTAGTTTTTTAGTTACTCCTTATAGGACATTTGCGAGGATGTAAATCACAGTGATTCAGACATGATCAAATGTCAGTGCGTAACGCCCCGTCAGGACATTTGCGAGGATGTAAATTACAATGACACAGCAAACAGGGCCAAATGTCAGTGCGTACAAAGAATCTACCCACTTCAACCCCAGGTCCCCACACCCGCCCCGTCAGGGCATCTGCGAGGATGTAAATCACAATGACTCAGCAGATAGGGCCAAATGTCAGTGCGTACAGAGAATCTACCCACTTCGGGCATAATCCCCACACTGCTACCGTTTAGATTCGAGCATTGATCTTAGTGAACCATTGAGCTAAACTCGTGGGGATAGTAATTTTTTAAGCTTTTTAATTGGAATGAAACGCTAGTATTTGTTATGAATATAACATATTAAGTGGATTTGATACTTGACGAGAGCTGGCGAAAGCGTCTTGCATCAAGGATGCTAAACCAATGCACTCGAAGCAATAGTCTGCCCCTCCATTGGTTATTTTTTTTTATGACCTATTTAAGATAAATAAAATAATTAATATTCAACGAGAGTACTAGTTTAATAACTATTCCATATTTTTTAATATCATATATAATAATTTTTTTTTTAAAAAGGAAGATACTCTTGACCTCAGCTACTGAACTTTCCCCACAATTAGTTGGATTGATAAAATCTGTTAGTCCAAACTTCTTCCCTGTGACATTCAACAACAACAATAATGACAATAATAATAAATCAATTTTTTGAATCTCTTAACTGTTGCGATTTTCACTTTTGATTGTCGAGTTTAAACTAATAAAAAATTTGGTCCTCACTCCTGACTAATAAAAATGTGCCACTTTTAATTAGTTCTTATGAAAAACTAAAAATGGCCCAATTTTAATAGTTAGTGATAAATTAATTAAGGGGGTGTATTCAATCATGACTTTCATAGAGTTTTAAAGACTTTTATGAACTTTAAAAGTTTGGAGGTATTCAATTCAAACTTTTAAAGAGTCTTTAAAAGTCATGCGGTATTCAATCAAGATTTTTAAAGAGTCTTTAAAAGTCGTGCGGTATTCGATTAAGACTTTTAAGGAGTCTTTAAAAGTCATGTGGTATTCAAAAAGTTATGAACTTTTGTAGACTTTTTAATTTTAAGACTTTTGTAGACTTTTCCTTCTCAAATATAAATAGTTGAAATCCAACCATCAACCCCAAGATTTCAAAATTTCTTTCTAACAACTTTGAATGTTCTCTCTCTCTATTTAAACTCTATATTAAACCTATCTAAATTCAATAAAATTATTTTTTCTTCATTATCCTATATTTTCCTCATACCTAAACTCTACCAATTTTTCTCTCTCTCATAAACTTTAGAATCTTCATCTAAAAATTTGAAACAATATTATTTTTACTTCATTATTGCTTGTTTATATTAATTTTTATTTTTTTCTATGAATTTTTTATCCCTAACTTTCTCTAATTCTCCCTAAATACATGAACAAAGCAATTTTTTTATCGTCAAATTTTATATATAAGTAATTAGCATATAAGTCTCAGCATACTACGGATAAAAATAATAATGTTGAGAATGTTGATGTGGGTGAAAAACTATATAATAAGAAGAATTTTATGATATATTATAAATGTTTTGTAAAAAAATTGTAAATGATAAGAATCAAAATCATTGAATGTTTGTAATAATGTATTCAATTTAGAATTTCAATGACTTTCGTAGACTTTTTAAAATAAAAAGTTGATAAAAGTCTATGAATATTTTTTTATATAGACTTTTATAGAGTCTTAAAAAGTTTTAAAAAGTTTTGAACGACTCTATGAAAGTCAATCAAAGTTTATTAAAATCTATCATTTTAAAAGTCTTTAAAACTCTACAAAAGTCATGATTGAATACACCCCCTAAGTTGATTTTGAACTCAAAGGATAAAAATGATAAAAATGTAATGGTCAAATAATAATAATAATAATAATAATAATAATAATTTTTATATATTCTTTATCATACCCACCAAGTTCAAACTTTTCCGGAATCAAGTCAACCCCAATAATTTTGGATGCTCCACGTAGCCTTGCACCTTCAGCAACCTATAATATAATAGTTTGAAATCCACAATATTAAGTGAGTAATGTCTTCATTTAGATTATAATATATTTATGCTCTTTTAGATTATCTATCATCTTCACTCTACTTAAATTGTATATGTTCATTTGGTGTTGTAATATTAATGTAAGTGCAATTGAAATGAATGTAAAAAACGCGTTCATCTTATGTATGTTGAATTAGGAGAAATTTTCAATTTTGTAAAACTGAATTCTACTATGTAGCAAAAAGAGAAAAAAAAAATCAAATTTTATTTGTATTATTTTATTGTCATAGGAAAAATATCTATTTCGTAAAAAATCACATCGATCTCAGATCATAGCAAGAACTTCTTAATTATTCAGAGTATAAGGGTCAAAGTACCTATGAGGTTCATATACTATAATGTTTTGTTCAATTTAGTTCTTCTACTTTAATTTTTTCCAATTTAGTCCTTATTCTTTAAAAATTGAAATAATTAAGGACAATAGCTTATGTGACCAAATATTTATGTATTTATTTGTGATATATTAATGTAATATATTGGTGGTAAAAATAATTAGTTTTAAATATTTATAAAATAATATATGAGTTGGCATATAAGTATGATGACGTGACAGAGATAATGTTAGCAGCAAATCAACTATTATCCTTAATTGTTTAGCTTTTCAAAGTAAAGGGACTAAATTGATCAAAATTAAGATAGAAGGACTAAATTGAACAAAACACTATTGTACATGAACCTCATAAGTACTTTGACCAAGTGTAAGTTACCAATTGCAATGCATCATGTCAAATGAAGTTTTTTTTTTTTTTTTGAATGCTCCTGACTCTATTACATTTGAAGTTTATTTATGCTAAGAAATAATACTATTAATAAAATTATCCAAAAACTTGTATTACTACTAGAGTCGTTAATGCATGGATCATAGTCCATACTGTTGTGTGGACCACAAATAAAAAGTACATTATATTACTCCGTATTTGTGTACATAAAGTACATTATTTGATTATTGAAAGTACATTATTTTATATATCAAATAATGTACATTCAATATACGAATAATGTATTTTTAATATATTAAAAATGTATATTGTGTTCATGGAAAGTATATTATTTGAGTACTGAAAATACATTATTTTATATAATGTACATTTAGTACACATATAATCTACTTTTAGTATATTAAAAATAATTTTTTTATGGGGTCACATTTGTGTGAGATCGTTTCACTGATCCTTATCTATGAGACAGGTCGAGTTGGATCGAGTCAATATTCAAATGTAATACTTATACTACCAAATGTAATATTAAATTAGAATTAAAATGTTTGTTATTTATAAGAGAAAACGTAATACTTTTATATTTTGATGTAAAAGTATTACATTTTCCATCAAAAGTATTATATTTATCCTTATTAATAATGTTGCACTTATAAAGGAAATGTAATACTTTTGATGAAAAATGTAACACTTTTACATCAAAATGTAAAAATATTACTTTTTTTCTTCAAAAGTATTACATTTTTCCATGTAATAAACATTTTATTCTTAATTTAGTATTACATTTTCTAGTATAAGTATTACATCCCGACCCATCTCACGAACAATAATATGTCAGGTGGTCTCATACACAAATTTTGTCTTTTTATGATCAACTCATCACTATGTGAACCATAAAAAGTTGCCTTACCGCAAGCCCCACAGCACCAAGTCCAAAAATTGCAACAGTAGAGCCTTCTTCAATCTTAGCAACTTTCCAGGATGCCCCTATACCTACATACATAAACAATTGCATTGATATTTTTTCTCAAGGAGAGAGATAATATCATTTTTGATTTATCAAATATAATGGTAATGGATATATTAGAAATGAGGCAAATCAACCCAAAGAAATGGAGCACCGAAGACCCGGAGCCTTGGGATCAAGCCTCACGCTTAACTCGGGCTGCCTCGGCAACAAACCTCCCAGGTCCGCGTTGGCGACTTCCCAGGCCGCAGTTGGTGGACTGCCCAAGACGACTCCCCCAAGCCAACCTCTCGGTCGGGAGTCTAGCCGACCTGCCTGGGCGGCAGGTGCAGTCAAAGACGGTTGTAACCGTCCCCTCCTCTTTAGGGTGGCGGTTACGGGTCTCTTGGGTATAAAAGGTGTCCCTTTTGTTCCCTTAAGACATCACTGGCTATGTCTTAACATCTTGTGTTGTCTTGTCCTAATTCACTCTTGTAATAGGATTACACTCGTTGTAATTCGTATATCGACTTGTTATTAATACAATATTGTCTCTGTGACACATATTTTGTCCTGTTACCTTGTCAATTTGCTATTCTTTATTTATTCTTCCAAAAAGGCTGAACCCCAACCCTAAGGGCGCTATTCCTTATTTATTGGTTTTATTGATTCGATCCACCCGGGTTAATTAAATCCATCAAATGGTATTTTTATTTTGGGTAACACTTGTGTGAGACCGTCTCACGGGTCTCAATTCCTGAGACCGACCGAATATTTAAGTAATGGGTCAAATATTTGATTAATGGGTTGGATTTTTTACCTTATTAATCAAAGATCTCACCCGTCTCACGGATTAAGACCCATGAGACGGCCTCACAAAAGTTTTTGCCTTTTATTTTTTTGTTTTAAATTACCAATTCAATACTTTTAGTTTCTTAATCTATATAAATTGGCTCACATGACACTCGTGTAAGACCGTCTTACGGATCCTTATTCGTGAAATGGTTCGGTTGGGTCGTGTTAATATACAAATGTAACATTTATACTAGCAAATGTAATACTTATTAGGAATAAAGTATTTGTTACTTATAAGGGAAATGTAATACTTTTACATATTTTGATGTAAGAGTATTACTTTTTTTTTCATCAAAAGTATTATATTTTCCTAATTAGTATTACATTTGCTAGTATAAATATTACATTTTCATCTAAATTTACTAACTTTTATTCAAAACATTTAAAATACCCTTATATTCATCAAGCTTCAATTCACCATTTTTTTATTGAATGACGAGGGAAACCTGCAGCCACTACCCGAGAGTGTGCACTGGTAGTCTAGGTTGCCCATAGTTTAATCGGCAAAGACCACAAGGAGGTAAACCAGCTAGTCTAGGTTGCCCATAGTTTCGTTAACTGACTCAAATCAAGAAAGTTGAAATCCGGACTCATAACCTTGTGATTAAAAGTTTGTATCCTTAGTCATTTTAGTTTATTTTAAAAAGGCCGAGAGACTAAAAATGATCAAACCAACAAAAAATGCTACAGAAGTTGAAGATAATCTACCTGTAGTGACACCACAACTGAGCAAGCAAGCCATATCAATGGGGAAATCAGGGTTCATCTTAACAACATGAGTGATATCTACCACAGTGTACTCAGAAAAGCTGGACACATTCAAAAGATGATGAATGCTTTGTCCATCCTTATCCTTGAACCGGCTTGTTCCATCTCTAGGCATTCCACTTTGATACCTAACTGCAAATTTTGTGCAAGTGTTACCTTTTGGGGATTTGCAATCCCTACATTCCCCGCAGTTCCTTCTAAACACAGGGATTACCAAATCCCCAAATCTCACTTCATCCACATTTTCACCCACACTCTCAACCACACTAAAGAAAAAAAAAATTTATTGAAGTCATTGTACAATTTAATTATGTACCAATAAAAAAATTATGCAATTTAATTAATTACTTACCCGGCTGCTTCATGGCCTAGGATTCTTGGAAAAAAAGACAGTGGTCCCTAAATAGTGAACCATAAGTCACAACTTACATTATATATAGTAACAGAGAGTATATATGTCACTTATTGAAAAATCAAAGTAAATTGTGAAATTATGTTTTTATACTGAATTAGAAACTCATGACCTTTATACACAAAAATTACACCTTACATTTTTTTTTAAAAAAAAAGTATTATATTTTTTCTTACCAGGGACACTTTATTCCTTATTAGTATTACATTTTTCAGTATTATATTTCCATCTTGACCCGACGTGTCTCACTTATACAAGTTTTTGTCATTAAAAAAAAAAAGGAAAAGGATCACCCTTAACTTTTAAAGTACCAATTAAGTCTATCGACATTATATTTTGATGCAATAAAGTCCAAAAATCGATTAGTGATATGTGATTGTCACATGTCACAAGGGTTCCGGTCAACATTCAAGCCAACTCCGACGATATTTTCGACAATAAAGTGAACAGTTGCCGGTAAATATAAAGTGAACGGTAGCCGGAGAATCAAGAAAAGATAAGGCAATTAACCCAGTTGCCTTTTCACCGGAGAAGGCAACCGCTATATGCTGATCATCATAATGTAATTAATATGGAGGTTTTAGTTGAAAATTGGAATAATTCTTAGAACTTACAGACTTAAATTTCCAGTAAGTAAGATCAGAATGGCAGAGGGATGAACAGAGAATCTTAATCCGAACCTCCCCAGGCTTGGGAGGAGCCACTTCGATTTCTTCTATCACAAGTGCCTCTCCAGCTCCTCTACATACTGCAGCTGTGGGTTTAGTTCACACCAAACCCAATTTAATTCCCTCCTTAAAGTATGAATTCAAAAGATTTTAGTGAAATTTCTTAGAGAAGATTCAAACCTTTGCATTTGATAGGTTTCCCTATCGTGTTTGGTGCAGACTTGAACTCCATCACACAACTCTCTCTCACTCTTTCTGTGGCTATAATCTGTCCCGGGATTAGGATAGATGGAGATTCTTTGCAAAGAAAGTTGTCTTTTATTGTTTTGTTTTCGGGAAAATGGTACTTTTTACTCCTGAGTTATATACTTATAGCACTTTTTCCCCCTCAATTATTTAGGTAAGCACATTAGCCCCCTCAGTTATTCTAACAGTGGTGCTTTTTCCCCCTGATATATTTAATTAACATTTATACCCTTAAAGTAAATATTTTATTTATTTTACTTCTCCAACAAATTATTGCGTATACGTAGGGATGACCACGGTTCGGTTTGAATTGAACCGGATACTATAGCAATCGAATTAATAGTTTTCGGTTATAATTCAGATCTAGAATCCAATATTTAAATGTCAATTTATTAAAATTATGTATCAAAAAAATTGAATCTTGAACCGTGAACCGGCGGTTCTGGATCCAATTCACGATTTTGAACCGTCTTTATTTTAAAATTTTATTTTTTATTTTAAAATAGTATAAATTCAACAATATATGTATTTTATTTTTTCAGTTCGGAACATGAACCGTCCGTTCTGGTTCACGATTTTAATAAACTCTAAATATCGGATTTCGATTCTAAATTGTAATTGGAATATTTCGATTTGGTTGCTATAGTGTTTGTTTGGTTTGAACCAAATTATGGTCATAATTTGTTGGAGAAAAAAAATAAATTAAATATTTAGTTGAAGGGTAAATATGTCCATTTAACATTTCAGGGGGGAAAACAGCCACTTCAATAATTTAGGGGGCAAAAATGCTATAGGTATATAACTCAGGGGAAAAAAGTGTCATTTTCCCTTTGTTTTCTAATAAAAACAAATAGCTCAATCAACGAGAATGCACTAATTAGAGCACAATATAAACGTGTGTCTTTTAGGGGTATGCAAACTTCGGATAATTTTCGGTTAACCGACTGAACCGACAAAATTCGGTTAACTGTTTTTTAATCTAACTTTTTTGATTCGGTTAATGGTTAAAATTTTTTTCAAACTTCAGTTAACGGTTAATTCGGTTCGAAAGTGTCAGTTAACCGAACTTTTCAATATATACTAGCAGGGCACGCGCGATGCGCGTTATGCAAGGCTGAACTAACATAGATGTAAGAACTTTAATATAACAGGGACATATGAATGTGAATACAATACGACTTAAATTTCAGAAGAAGCGGTTTGAGTGTAACTGGAAAGACAAAATAAGCGTGACAATTATATGAAGGCAAATTTTTCTATCAGTAGGAATGACCAGGTACCTGAAGAAGTCATCGAAAGAAGAGAAAACATCTCTCAAAAGTCTTAACTGCCATAACGCATTATTAAATCATTAGATGTTTGAGTGAGTATGATTCATTGGATCATTTCAAGATTTTATACTTAGCATTTCGCTATCACCAAAAAATGGTTAATTGACAATTGCAAAATATTAATTAGTTCAGTAAAATCTCTAATAAGTGCAAGCAGTAGAATTTCACACAACTCTCTCCCTCGCTCTCTTTCTGTGGATATAGTCTGTCCCGGGATGGAGATTCTTTGCAAAGAAAGTTGTCTTTTATTGCTCTGTTTTCTAATAAAAACAAATAGCTCAATCAAAGAGAATGCACTAATTCGAAAAACAATATAAACTTGTATCCTTATCTACTATCCACTATATCCAGAGCCAATAAACTTTGGTCAGAACTACTATCCACTATATCCAGAGCCAATAAAGTTTGGTCAGAAATTATTGGATGAAATGAATGGTTCAGATTATTTAGATTTTAGTAATTTTTTTTTTCTACTTTACCCTCTATTATATTATTTTATTTCCTTAAAAATATTCGTATTTCATTAATATAAACTCTAGTAACAAAATATTCTATTAACTAACTTACTCATTGATTTCTATAATAAAAGTCTTAGGTTAATAGGTTCGAACCCAACCCAATCATAGTTAGCATAATTGCTGAACATATACTATAAATATGTTATAGTGTATTAAAAAAATATATAATATGAACTTTGGTCAAATAATTAGTTCGACTAAATACATAGCATTCAAAGTTGAGCATCAAATATTACAAATAAGGAACCTTGAATTTTTTTTTTTTTTGTATTTAAAAAAATAAATTTAGGTTAAGTTTTTTTTTTTTTTCCGTTTAATTAATTTTTTATTATTATTTAAAACAAGACTGAATATTTCAATTATGCTTTAGCATTATTGGAATGATTTAGGTCATTATGGTGTTAATATTTTTGTCTATATTTCTATAATGATACAATTGTACATACATTACTTTACAAATATTGTACTATTATTTTTTTATTGGACAAAATTGTTCTTACATCATTGTCAGACCTGTACGACCTAACTACAAAGTAGTTGGTCAAGAATACAACTACACATGGACTCTAAATGGTAAGACCATTGTCCAAAGAATTGACAATGTTGACACCCACTAGCTTCAATTGAACAAGTTTACACATCACTCTCAGAATTTTATCAATGAATAAAAACTTTAAAAGAAATTTGTAGGTTAATTTTTACTATAACATTATCACAATATCTATTGTAACCATATTCTGAATTATTTATCAGCATCCTCTATAGACAACAATTGTAGCAATTGTCATTGACAAACTCAAAAAATAATTTGTCGCAACAACAAATGGAAATTAAAAAAAATCAATAACTTCATTGTGTGGATGAAAAGTAAGTACTCTACTCTATTACTTTATTAAATTAAATAAATTAGTAAGTACAACAAAAAATAATGCATATGCATTTCTTTAATTTAGAATTAGATATCTACAAAGCCTTTATTCAAAAAAAAATTATTCATTATCAACAAATTTAAAAAGAGATATAATTTGATTAGTTATATATTGTCTTTAATTTCTACAATGCAATCCTTACCTTCAAATTAATTAATTAATTATATTTACTACATTGTCCATTGCATTCTTTTTACACTATCTTGTAATTAAATACTCCATATCAAAGTTATAAACTTATAATACATAATAATGTTATATATTTATTTATCAAGTATTTTAATTTTTTTTTAAACCACCAATTATTTTATTAATACCATGAAAAAAACACATTTGAAACCAATTATATAAACTACTTGGGGGGATTTGTTAACAAAGGTGGTATTCAAATAATCCAAGAAATTGAAGCGAGAAACTACCCCGTAATATCTTTCGACTACATCATAGTTGTTCACTTTAAAGACAAATCATATTTTTTTTTATTAAGATAATTTAAAATGTATAAAATTTTACTATCTTATCTAATTTTATTCCTTAAATAAACTAGGAATTTCTCAATCCACAAGAACTCATCTAATAATTATAATGGTTTAACCAAAAGTACCTAAAGGACCAGTATGCTTTTATCCTAATAATAATAATAATATGTAAATGGTAATTAGATCATTATCTTACTTAGTTACATTTAAAACTCATTATTAAAAATGTCAATGTAGGGCAATAGACCATTATAACACACTTGACACATTGAAAAGATGTCGAGACTACAATAATGCTGCAACCAATTTTGCAAAACCAAAAAATGAGAAAATTTCAAAAATAGTCACCGTTGCAACATTCATTGATCTCATATATATATATATATATATATATATATATATATATATATATATATATATATATATATATATATATATATATATATATATATATATATATATATATATAAATTAATTTTTTAAATAAGTGGCGGGTAGCCCGCGGGCCAAAAAAGCATACTCTTTGGCGGGCTGCTATTTTCGAAACCCAGTCCATCTAAGTAAGGGGCGGGACGAGCCGGCCCGCAGACAAAGTCCGTTTTGACGGCTAGTGACTGAGGAACTAATTTAGAAATGCACCATTAGAGAAGATTTTGGCTAAGTATGGGGTGCAACATATAGGGGGAGCTCCATATCATCTCTAAACAAGTGGTCAAGTGGAGAATGCAAATCGAGACATCAAGGCTATATTTGGTCAATCCCTAAGCACCGTAGGGATTGACCAGAGAAGTTAGATGACGCTTTGTGGACTTTTAAGATAACTTATAAGACTCCCATTGAAACCACTCCATTTCGGTTGGTTTATGGAAAGGCGTACCATTGCCGGTCGAGATTGATCATAAGGCATATTGGGCAATTAAGAAGCTTAACAATGATCTTGATATTGCAAGGCTTGAAAGACTTTGGCGACTTGATGAGTGGAGTGTGCTTGCTTACGAAAATTCAAAGGCCTACAAAGGTGTATCATGACAAAGCGTGGCTTTTCTTTTTCATATTCACATTTTGTGGTTTCACTTCCTCTTCGCGTAAGTTTCTTTAACACTCATAAATTATGAATGTGCAGACATGGATTTATGAATGTGTAGTTATGAGATTATGACTTTTCTGTTATGCGATTATGAATTTTCTGTTATGCGATTATCAATGTATAGAAAATTCATAATTACATAACTGTAAATTCATAATCTCATAACAGAAAATTCATAATCACATAACAAAAAAGTCATAATTTAATAAATATAAATTCATAATCTGAACATAAAATGCAAAACGCCATTAAAAGCACATTAACTAATTTTTTTTTCTGATAAAAACGATATCGTTTAGGACCGTATTCACCAAGCATGGTGAACACGTTTCCATGGCATAATTTGCTTACTTTTCAATGCAAAGCTAAAGCTATTCCTCGGAATCAATGGCCCAATCTATAAATTTGCTTTTGCATCTGATGGATACGAATTTAGAATGGGCTTTCTAATTAACGGAAATAATTTTGTTAACTATTAACCAAATTAATTTAATTAGTTTAGTCAAATAAGTAAATTGCATCTACTTGGTTAACGGTTATAAATTTTAAAATTCTGATTATCGGCTAAATCAGCTAATTTTTTTAATTGTTTTTAAAAAGAATTAATAAATTAATAGTAAATGAAATTGTAAGATATATTTTATATAATAAATATACTTCATAATATAAAATATTATATATATAATAAAATTTCAGGATTACCCAGTTAACTGAATAT